ATAACGTAGAGCCTTAGAAGAAGTTTCAGTTTTTGACTATTATTCCTCATTATTAGTTATTCCATCAGAATTCATTATCAGAATAAAACAATGTATTATTAGCATGTACTTTTCATTGTAATAGTTTTTGGTTTACATAATTACATGTAATATGATACCATATTAATTTGTATTACATGCTTCTTAAAATACGTCAGTGATTCTAAATTGCAAGTTAATTTTATCATGCACTTATTGATAACTTTTTATATAAAAAAGGTTATTTTACATACTGTATTCATCTCACTATATTCGGATTTGTACAAGCAGGTTAGTACAATTTATATGTATGGTATTTGTAATACCCATTAGTCACCACAATTAACCTACCTCAATGTATGTATTTTAAATAGGTAACATTAATATTACCAGTTATTTCTTCCATACTGTCCCACAAACATACTTTTTGAAAGATAACAGTTGTTTTTATAAGCATAAATATGTATTATGGTAAAGAAAAGAAACATTAGGCCCTGTCTTTGCAGAAATTTGTCCCCAGTCTAACTTAGCAACATATGGCAAATACTCGAATAGATTTGGCACCAAATTTTATTTTTACCAAAATGTACAATATTTATGATATGAATCATGAATATGCAAGTTTCAGATCATCTTTCAAACTTTAATTTACCAACTGTATAAAGTACCACCAATAATAATTTCTCCAAACATGTCATAATGTACTTCACACAAGTACTAAACTTAAGTTTAATTTAATATCATAGCAGTCATTAATGCAATGTTTTTAATTAAAAGTCTGGTAACAATAAAAGGACTAAATTAAAGATGATAATTATGGCAGCCTATCTTGTAAATGAGAAGTTTAAGAAGAATGTTTAAAACTAAATACAGAAATTAAGGATGAATAGATAAGAAAATAAAATGCAGATCTATTTTGTAAAAGCATGGTTGACAATCTAAGTTGCAAAAAGATTTGTTTATTTTGTTTAAAAAGATAAAAGAATAGTTTTTTTTTGTTCTAGGTCAATGGAACTTTAAATTATGCCATGAAAGCTACAGCTGTGTAAGAAAAACTTGAACACTCACATTGGCTTTATTAGGCCTTTCATAACGAAATTCACATCTTTGTGTTGGACTACAGGCAATATCAAAACTAGCTCGACGTTCCTCATTGTGTGAATGGTGAGTAGGAACTGAAAGAAATGCAGTGGCATCATGACTGGCACTTCGAGATTTTCTTCCCCTACGTTTTTCAGCTGGAGACTGCAAATACATGAAAGGATATATAAACAAGTCTCTGAAATTTTGTACAAATTAAAGTTAAATTGTCTTTTGCATAAGAATAACTCTAAACAAAAGTTACTGAAATAAATGAAAAGTACAAACTCATTTTGAAATTTCTATACAAGTGTAACTCGTAGTACAATCCATGATCCTGAAATAAATTATTGTACCTGCTAAATTATTTATATTTTGCTATTATAAGTTTTTCTCAAATAAAGTTCAAATATGGAGGATAGATTTTCCAAGGTTTTTTTGCTCTCAATTTTACAAAACTGTTTTTCAACTTTGTTTAGTAGGTACTTTTAAGGAAAAACTATTCCCCCACCAAAAAAAGACTTGAATTCTTTAATTGTTTTTGTGTTTATAGTTGTAAATTTAATGTAATTTTGATCTTTTGAAATAAAATATCTAAATAAAATGTACATAAAACCCTTATCCACTTAAATTTGAAAAAAATGAAAATGTATGCATCAGTTATAACTTTTTGAATCAGTATAAGTAACTACTGGTACAGAGAATGATAAGAAATGTGTATAAGAAATTATACAGTGATATATTTCAAGTAGTTATAAAGGTTAGCTAAAGATTATGTTAGAGAAGTTTACTTCTGTAGTATAAATACCTAAAAGTTGTAGTTAAAATATTTTCAAAATGAGCATTAGGATTTTTAATATTTTACTTTTAGGCCTAGTTATATTGAAATGTGTAATAGAAACACAATAACTTACTCCTTTAGGGCTGAGCAGAAAGTCATTCTGGAAGAAACAAACAATGAATTTAAAATTTTTTCTCTGTTGTAAAAATATTTGTATATTTCTAAATGTATATATGAAACTGAGGTCATTTTTATTATATTATCTGCCAAAGAGCCATACCAGCTGCTGTGTTGTAGTCATACAGTTGAAAACAAATGTATTTTTGAAAATTTTGAATTTCCTTTCATTATATGCATATATTTCATTTAAGAAATAACAACTCCTTATCCTAAAAGTATGCTATGAATGAGTCTATACTTTGCACTCTCTTAAAGCTTTCAGAGAAATGAAATATTTACTTAGAGTTTCAAAATGTTGCTAGTGTAAAATTTAATTTCAGTGGTTCAAGTCTAAGAAATAAACTACTATATTACTTCGCTGTTGGTGTTATGTTCACTGTCATTTATATTAAACTGACTTTGATTAGTAATTACTAACATCTCAGTAAAAACATATTACAAATTTTTTGCATTATATAATTACTTTCTATATATCATTAATGTATAGTTATCAATGTGGATACTATTCTTATTAAAGAAAAGTGTTTGTCAAAATAGGGATACATTGTGATTAGGTTGATTACTATAGTAAAGTTTTCAAGATTTTTTTCACAAGTTCCACTAATCCTCCCCCCCCCACATGGATATATGAAACTCTTTGAAACAGGACAGTTTGAAGGAGTTTAATCAAACACGTAAGATAAAATAGCAACTTTTTTTAACATTAAATTACTGAAGCTTATGAAAAAGTAATTTTTATGTGATAAAGATTTAACAGGAATCTTTTCTTTGATTTTGTTGTTGTATATTTTCAAGATTGAAGCTCAAAAAATTATACAGTGGTCTTGAAAATGAAAAACTGTATACATCAAGCAGGATGTACTAATAGTTGATACTTATTTGATTTTAAGGATCAGTATTAGCAGCTAGGAATATAAATGAATTGCAATAGAATACATCATCAAACTTAAAAAAAAAATAACTATCAAGTAAACATAAGAGGCCAAAACATTATATTTTATGATAGCATATACAGGATCTTCAAACCAATCAAAAACAGTAAGTCAGGTAACTCCTTTATCAATGTATAATTATGATAATAATGTTGTATGAGAGAGCATAATACTTCAAACTTTATGATTTTGATTAATTATATGACTTAAAAAAATAAAGCCATTTATAACAGTATGATTTACAGTATACTTATACAAATCATTTGTCGTGCCAGAGGGTAAAATATTAACTGGTCAAATGCTTTTAGAATTGCTCATGATGCAATTCTATAATATTCTTAGCTAGTTGTGAAATGAACCATATTTACTGACATTGGATAGAATATTCCTTCCTTGACGAGCTGACAATTGTATTTTAAAACAATGTCCTATAAGCTTTACCCAGTGAAGATTTATACATCTGTAGGTATAAGAGATAGCTTGGGCTTTATGCAGTTTATTTGTGTTTGGAGATGTCTAGCTTTCGAGAAGATACAATATTTAGGATTTTTTCATCATGCAGTAGTATAAATTGTACAGTGAAACACTTGTTTTACATTACATAACATAACCAGCTGAGAACTACTTCTAGAGCTTTATTAGATTTCATTAGTTTAGTTAGGAATGGTACAGAATGTTATCCAATTAATAGCTTAATTCTTCAGACTCATTTAAAAAACTAAATTCTTTTTAATGTTTAATTGTTTTATATCTCAAAGAAATCATAAAAATAAATACCTGCTTAAAACTTTACAATTTCTAACTTGTTAATTATTTTTCCTTGTCAAATCTACTACATTTAAAAATAACGTACCTTTTTTTCTGTATTGGACTACATTTTTAATTGCATTATAATTTTTCATTATTCTCTATCAGCTGAAAAAAAAGAAAGATTTTCCATTCTTGCTGAAGTAGACGAGTAAGTATGTGCATAAGGAACTCTTACCTTCTTGTTTCCTGAAATAATAACCATTAAGACCCATTAGTAAATGTTTAATATCTTCATGACTTCATGTGATAATATCTTCAAGCAGTTACACAGTTCACACTAAGGTAAAACAATTTATAACAATAATTGAACTATTATATCAAAAATTAATAAGGTTGACCTTTTACTTCAGTGATGCAAAGTTTCAGTTTTTTGTAGTTATTAGCCAAAAGCACAACAAAATTACAAAATTATATTAGGTTACTGTGAAGCAGCTCAAATATATGCACCAAGTTCATCCCACACTGTCTATGTTTTGTAAACAAGAAACACGTAGTTCAAAAGTGATTTTTTAAAAATAATAATCAGAATAAAATAAGACTGTAGTTACTACTTGACATCTCATTCTCTGAACAACTAGATCTTGAATTAAGACTAAAACAGTTTAGTCAAGACTTTGATTCAGTTATAGTTATTAAGAAGTAGTATTTTGAAAATGAAATAGGAAAACATTTAGGAAGTTATTATCAGAGAAAGTGTCAGATAGCTTGGAGATTTGAAGTGCATTAAATCAAAACTTACATGTTAGAATACTTCAAATCCAGTTTTTTAGTATAAAATAGAAAATTCTGCTATGAAAACTATTTTGAATATGAAAAAGTTTTAATGTTTCATTGTTATTTCTTGTAAAATAATTGGAAACTTCACCTTACATTGTAATATTATAATACATTAGCTACTATCAGAGATCTTTAGTTTTATCAGACTTAAGTTTTTAAACTATTTTAGTTTTGTGTGTTAGAAGTTATGATAAGATATACCCAATTATCATTTTGCATTTTAAAAAATGTAATGTAAAGTTAAATACTCCCGACATGTTTGATACAGTTAATAATAAATTAGGGAATGCATTAATGAAACTAAATTTCTGTTGGCTAGCTTACAATAATCTTATCAGAAATAAATAAAATTTAAGTTAGTACTGTCTTGGCTACTCCAAAAAAAAAATATAACTTAAAGATGCAAACAAAAATTCATTTAAATATGGTTACAAATATATATTAACATGTTGAAATAAAACAATAGGTTAAAAATGTTATAATATGTAGAGATCTACAAAATTATGCCAATAATTACCTTTCTTTAACTTGAAAGCCTTATTCAAGTTAATCTCTGATTTTCTTCTTTCTTGTTTTCGTTTTTCTAGATACTCTGGTGCTGAAAGGTGGCGCTTGGAGCTATTTTTGTCAGATGGCACAGACACTGTATTTTTAATGAAAAATGTCTTCCAGATTAGGGTTAATTTAGTTGTTTAGAACTATGGACTTGCATATATCCAGTCATTTACAAGTTATAATTTGATAATTTTGAAATGTATTTTTACCACCTTAGCAATTTATACTGTACTAATAATGAATAATATTCCTATGTGAGATAGTACATATATTAAAAAAAGTATCTAGATATAATTACAAATATATAGTAACATGTTGAAATAAAACACTAGGTTGAAAATGCATTTCCACCATCCTAATTTTTAAGATTTATAAAATTACATTAACAAATAATTACCTTTCTTAAACAGTCTTTAATTTCCACTTTTCACACACACACACAAAAAACTACATTTCTTAGAATTTCTTGTATTTTTAAGGACTAGATTAATATTGCAATTAATTTCCTATAAGTATTATAATCAATTTTTGGTTCCAATTTTTAATAGATAACAAATAACGTGGGTTAATTTCCATAAATTATGTAATGTTTACTAAACTAATATTTATATTAGGCCTAGGAATTGTTTATACTGTTACTATAGTTACATTCAGGGGGAAAATTCTGCCAGCATTCAATACCAGGACTTGTTTTAATACCAGTATTCAGTATCAGGACTTATTCAGTCTGCTTTTCATCCAACCTGCATGCCTTTCATCATGATGTCAGAAAGTTAAAAACAGAGAAAAAGGGACAAAAACTGACTGAAATTACTTTATAGTGGTCTACAAACCTTTATGAAAGATTGTAGATTGAAATTTTCCCACAATGGCCAATGAGGCTTAATATTCATTAGGCCAAGGCTTGTTCTAGAATAAAGACTGAACAAGGGTAGTAAATCAGAGATGATTTAATTGGGATAGTTTATGTTATAAAATGTATACAGGGAAAAAAGTAAAAATAAAAGAATAAGGGGTAAAAAGGAAAGGAAAGAAGAAAGAAAAGAAAATCGAAACATAAATCTTTTGTAACGAGTTGTTATTTTTCAGTTTTATTAACAACTACTAATTTACCCCACGACTGCTATAGATTTAAGTACACACTTATTAACTGCTGTGCCATATACATTTCATAATTTAGGTACAGTGCAGAGTTACAAACTATACAGGTTTAGTTTAACTCATGAGGATTCTATTTCAAGAACAGAGTATTTTTGCATTTCATTTTGCTACATACAACATTGTCATGTGTTCAGATATGTAGACATAAGTACTGTTAATATGTGTTAGCTACAGATCTAGTGTTTAGTTTTAATCATAACTAGAGTTTACTGTGAATTAAATTGAAAGTACAAGTAAAGAACTACCTTTTGATTAAGTACAGATCAAATGCTAAGGTTAGCTTGAGTTTGGTTTTAGTACATGGCATCAAGTCTGAGAAACCTAGAACTAATCTATTGGTAAGATCAGTTTCAGTGCTATACAACCTGTGTGTAAAATTAGGGTGGATGAATCTCTAGAATATGGGATCAACAGCCAACAGAACTTAGATCTGCAAGATGTACCAGATAGTGCCACATATACTGGGTAGGTTGAGAGATCATCAAGCAGAGAGGAAACTTTCCTACAATCTGTTACTAGAGGATGGATACAACATGAAGATGCCTAGTTACTGGTTATAAGTAGGACTGATTGGTATGAAGAGTATACTCTACTGACCAGTGTGCTTGAACCTCTAGACTGGCTGTGCCATTCTAATAGCTTACTGACCTGCTGTCACTCACCTGCTTGGATATTTGTTGTCTTATGGAGGAACAACGTTCTGCATAAGGCTGGTGGAAAATTCAATCTTCCAACAAGCAACACAAGGATGAAGCTGGAAGCCATAAAGAAAACTCTCCTCTGAATGGCTGAAAGTAATGAACCACAAATACACGGTAACTTGCAGGCAATACTACATAAAATTCAAGGTGGTTGGTCCCCAGATGGATGGCAGAAAGCATAGCAACTGAATGGTAAGACCATCACTTTAGATGTAATGTGCCAGGCCTTGCTAGATCAAAAGTAAACAAGAAAGCTGACAAGCCTGCAAAAGAAGCCTCTGTATCAAATCTGGCATAATTCTATTGATCTCCTGTGGCCTATGAAGGTAAAGGTCTTAATCAGTATTCAGAGGAAATGAGACTGCTGGAAAACAAAATACCCATATGGTGTATAAATAGAAAAAGCAAAAGATAGGGAACCAATAGGACAGTAAGCAACCAGAAGGCCACTGGTAATATCAATAAAGAAACTCTCTTCTACTTCATGCAAGGCAGCACCCCTGTTCTCAACTCAAATATTGTGATTGTAAAATTACTTGGCTATTTCTTTATTGTTATTATTTCTCATGTCTATATAAGTGTAATATTTCTGTTAATGTTCCTTGCAATTAATAATAATAATCACTAGCTAGAATAGAAAGCAAACAAAAAGGGTTATATGAATTATGAGTTAAGTTTAGTTGGACTTTTGATTCATCTGTTAACTTCAGTGTACACAGATGTAACACTTAGAAGAAAATTTTAATTTTTATTATTTTTGTTGATGGGTTACAAGATACCACCTGTCCCTGCCAAAACAATAGCAGTATAGAAGTAATGAATAGTAACTTCTGAAATCCCTCACCTTCTTCTTTATTCTGGCCAAGCTCCATGACTAGCTGCCGAGCTTTAGATGGAATCACAGCATTGTAGTTTTCCAGTATCACTCGCTTTAACTCAAGACACCATTCTCGTTTCTGTTCCAAGTTACGTGCCTGTGTTAGAAAAAATTAAGAACAAAACAACTTAAAAACTGGAAACTTTATTATTATTTTGAATCATGTTATACATTCTTAATTACACTGTATGGAGAAATCAACCAAGATTGTTGTCCTGGATAACTATTAACAGCTTAAAAATCTTAATAATGCAAAATGTTTAAAATTTATTTCTTCTTGAAAGGTTACAGGAAAGGTCAACAGTTGTCATATTCCACGATTATAAAAGCATGCAAGACATTATATTTTAGCATTTTAAAGAAAGGAATGTGTATCATGTTGAACTGTACTGGCGAAATATGAGAAGATATGATTCCAACACAGAAAAAAAAAAAGAGTCACCTCACCACCAGATACCAATCACACACCAAAAATTGCAAAGAAAATTAAACATCTTGTTAAAAGAAGTAAATGAAAAATTCAATATGTCATTAAAGTAAAAGCAGAAATGTTCAGAACTTAATATCAGATAATTCACAGTATTTAGGTGTAAAAGGTGCCACAAGAGCAATGCTTATAAGCTTCTCCTAAAGTACATAGATGAATGAATGGCCAACTATTGAAGGTTCTACAAACAGTTGTAGCATGTGATAAATATCATCACATTGAACAAAGCTTATGTGTACTTAAGCACCTGCAGTAAAGTTTTTGAGATTCATTATCATTCTACTAAAGATACAGCATTTTTAATATGGCACAGAGTATGTCACAAACGTTTTTCCAAAATATTTATGATGGTTGCAGCCATAATGGGCCTCCAGAAGTGATTATCAGTACACAACAGATGGACTTTGAAAAGCATGTAATGAAGAGAGGGACAACATTGACCTCATTGTATTATGCAAAAGTCTCTTGCAGTGGAAGCTGTATTGCAGAGCCACAGTCCATAAACAGGGACATCACACAGAACACCATTCTTGCATCATTACCATAAATTCTGAACAACATTATGTAAGAATCAAGTTTCTATATAAGATTAATTCTCCAAACCAACAATCCAAGCTTACTAGTGTGAATGTAGGAATGTTGTTGCAAGTGGACAGGATACGTGAAACTTTTAAACAATGCAAAATGTATGTAAAACTTAGAAAAAAAAAGACAGCAGGCAGCAACAATTTTAAATCGTGATACTTTTGTGCCTGGCTAGTTAAATAACTTTCCAACATGACTTACCTGGAATGTATACTGAAGCCGAGGATTGTTAAATGGAATTACGTGGAAACATAATGGCTCTCCCTGGATGCTTTCTATCAGCATTAAGTTTGAACACTGCAGAATATAAATGATATAAAAATTAAAATGTGTGCGGTGATCTTGTTTTGTGATTTTACTTTAAATATGCAATTTCTTTTTTTTTTACAGTTTCTAAAAATTTTCAATGAATATTAGTTTGTGGTGAAGTAAAAATTTGTTTTATTGCAGAAGAACAAAATATATTTGTCTTGATCATTAAACTTTCAAAATATAGTTTATAAATATATTGATTACATAACACATACCATTATATGATCTTTGTAGCTTAGCTTTCCTTCTTCCTTTTTTTTTGCAATCAACAATATTTTATCAAACAGGAACAAATGGCGTGATGCTTTAGCACCTAACATACGAAACGTCCCCTCTGCAGCCAACTCTCCATATGTTGTCAGGTCTTGACCCTAAACACACAAAAAATTTATTTTTAATTTAGAAGAGAAATTTTTTGAGATTTTTATGGCAGGATGATATACTCAAGCCACAGGATAATTTTCACACACAACTTTCAAAATCATGAAAGGTTAGTAAACAAACAAACTTACAGTAATCTTTGAGAAGAAAACTGTAATATAGAAAGTCAAGACACAAAGCATATGTTTGTTTCTTGTAGTGTAATGTGTGTAGATTACTTTTAATGATCTAAATTAGTAACTATAGGGTAACAGCAGCAGAAGTGTGAATAAATATTATTGCACATCAACACTTGAAAATACTTAAAATACATTTTATAAAAAAAACATTAAGTTGCAATTTTTATAATAAATTCTTTCTCAAATCATTTTCAAAGCCCAAAAATATTATAAAAATAGGAATTGTTTGTAAAAAAAAACTAGTGTTGACAAGAATGAGTTTTAACTCTAGTTATTCAAAGAACAATTAATGCTAAAAATAGTTTGCTTATCTAGAAACAGTTATCTGTGCACATTTTGCTCATTTAATCTACTTGTAAGTGCTCTGTTTTAAACAGACTATCTATAACAATAATACTTGAAATCATTAATAGTTTTCTTAATGAACTCAATATACTTTATTGCTTAACACTGCATAGTGAAAGACACTGAACTTAGTGTATGGTATTGTCAAGAAACTCAGCCTCTATGTTAAAGTACACTGAGAGTGAAATCAGACACCAAAGACCCATAATTTATGATTTCCAATCACTCAACCATAACACTGACATAACTATCCATGATAGATTTTTTCTCTCTCTCTCTCTCTTTACAGCAATTCTATTCATACATTAGATTCAAAGTATTTGTTGCTCTTTCCCAAGACCTCTGAATAAAGAGTTTTTATCTTCCACTTGAGTCTTTAAACAGATTATCTCAAATATCATTCATAAAAAAAAGTTTTATATTTAGCAAACTGTTTCTTATAATACACAGATGCCCAATACTAACAAATTACTTTACTAAAACATACAGCTGAATCTGTTTGTAAAACTTCTATCCTCCATGAAGTACAAATCTAATTCATAACTTATGTAATTCTGAAATATCAGTCTTTTCTCATAGCTAGGAAAAATGTTATTCTCAAACTTTTATATGATCAGAAAATTTATATAATCTGATTTTCAAGTTGAAACATACTAAAACACCAGATGTATTTTCTTAATACTTCACTATAATCTAATCATAAACTCACGAAAAAACTGTAATAATATTTTAATATATGCAAAATTAGAATTTATTTATTTTTGTAATAATAAAGCCAGACATACCTCCCACTCATACAAGAGAGACTGAATCTCCTGAACCCGCACAGCATCTTCATGTTTTCTTTTCATGTCATTGATGTGAAACACTAGCCCTGTCATCACTGAAATTGCATTCTTGATGTCAGGATAGCCATCACCATCTTTGTCCAAGTGTTTCACC